AATGATGGTTTGAGAGAAAAGGCAAGTGAGTGAGAATTAAGAAGAAGGTAGTATTGGGACCCAGTTGCACAACTTGCCTATTTCCTGACTGCTGTGAGAAAACTGGATCTGTAAGAAGTCATTGTCTCATGTGGGAAATTTTCTGGAGAAATTCCTTTCCCTGTGGTCTCAATGTTAAATGGGATATATGAAGACTCACAGCTTGTGAGGAGCAGAACTCTGGCCCCTCCTTAGGAGGACTGTAAAACAGAAATTGTATTCAGTACTCGAAATGCTGATGTGTAAGAGCTAAAATTGGTAGTATTGTTATTGTTTCCCAAGATAAAACATAATATACTGGCCACTGGCTAGCACACTGGCTTTGAACAGTGATTGGGAGCAGGATTCACTCATGAATGAGTTATTATAGCATGCGGTGGTATTTTTTTTTTCCATTATTAATATCTATAAGCTATATCTACTATAAAGTTTTCATTGAGTGAAAAGCAATATTGCTTTTTCCCTTATGTATCTCTTGACATTTCAGGGTGTTTTCTAGTAGGTCAAGATTCTCTGTAGACCAGGATTCACTGGCTGCTCATTTCAGGGTGTTGTAGAGCCTGTCACTCCTCTGACACATTTAGCTCCCTCCTTTTGCAGCCCTCCTATTGCAAGCAGCAGGAATGTGTGATGTATTGGAGTGTGGTCCAGCCAAAGAGCTGTGTAGAGAACTAGAGACATGCTTTTGAATGGCAACTCCAGCTGGACAACATTCAGCAGCTTAGGTCAATTTCACCTGATATAAAATGAAATGTTCCATTTGCATTTTATGCAAACTGATGGCAATGACAAAAAAAAAAATAAAAACATCCACACCAAAAAAATAACAACAACAACAACAGCAACAACAACAACAAAAAAACAAAAACAAAACAAAAACAAAAAACCACCCACCAAACAAAACCCAACATACTTTTGTAAAAATACCAGTTCCCTTTGGCCAAAAATTGAATGACAAATTCCCAGCTATCTTGATTCACTGTCATTCTGTCAAAGGTAGGTCATAAGAACATCTGTATTTTCATGCCAGTGCAGTACTCTGGCTGCTGTAGCTTGAGAACTGCCTTTGTTGAAATTTAAGGTTTTTGACCATTACCTCCTGCTGGATTCATGTCTTCAGTTCTGTCTAGCTGACATCTCTTTGGCAATCACAGCTTTAGAAATGCTCCTTTTAGACAGTATGATGTGAGGAGCAGTGATGCTGTAGAAACCTCACACTGTAGAGAAAATGATCTCTTATAAAAAGGCCTGTTCGTATTAAAAATTCACAGCAGCGCACTCCACACCCCCATTATAGGTAATTACAGAGGATTTTAAATATCTGATGCAGGGTACAATACCCTGTCAGCAGCAGGCACTGATTTGTAATTTAATTATCATAAGACATCCACCTGTTCTTTTGTCAAATGAAGAGTAGCATTTCCGTGCAATCATGTTTTTCCCTCCAGAAATTTCAATTAATCCTTAGAGAAAGGTTTCTAGGGAATGCATTTTTTTCAAGGACATTTGCAGGACCCCATCAGAGCTGGGTGATGGAGATGAATGAGGCATTTCTGCAGGAGTGTCTTAATTCTGGTTTGGTATTTTCAGCCTTACTACTGGCTTTTTGCTGTGTCAAGCTGTTTTGGTTCACAGCTGAAAGCATTTCAATGAAGGGGTGCTGTGGGAGGAAAGATATATGAAAATCAATGCTTTTGGTGCTAAGAACATTAGGCAAACCCATAGCAGGATTGACCCAGAAATGCTCTAGGCTCATACTTTGTGAAGAAGAACAGGCTGGGCTTGGGATGGGAGGGAGACAAAGACAAATAGAACAGTGGAAATGTGTTCTGTAAACTTCGTAAAGTTAATGGCACATGAACATGAATATTGCTGAAGTTGTCCTGGGAATGTGGAGTTCTTGGATAAATAGATCAATTCAAATTATGAAGCAAATCTGTCAGTGGAGATCTACACAAGTGTTCTGCTCTTTGGGAGCACGGGGCTCAGGGTGAATGAGTTTACTCTGGGCTTTGGCTCCTGTTTATGCAACAGCTACACTGCAGTGTGGTGATGGGGAAAGGACTTGCTGATGGTTAAAGAGATGTTCTCTCTGTAAGGCCACATCACTGCTTCTGGCAGTGTAAAACAGCAAAAATCTTCTGGAAAGAATAGCATATATGTTATATCTATATAGCTCTATCTATATGTACATATGTATGTATATATAATCAGATATTAATTATATATAATCAAATTAATCTTATTTAATTAAATATATAATTATGGAATGAATCATAGAATCATAAAATTATTTGGGTTGGAAGGGACCTTAAAGATTCAACCTGCTGCAAGGGCAGGGATGACATCCACTAAATTAGATTGCTTAGGGTCCCATCCAACCTGGGCTGGAACATCCCTTCCTAGGATGGAAACATCTACAGCATTCCTGTGGAGTTTCATTCTGTTTCAATGCTTCATCACACTGAGGAAATAATTTCTTCCTAATATGTAATCTAAACCTCTTACAGTTTAAAACCATTCCCCTTTATCCTGTCACTACATGCCTATATCAAAAATCCCTCTCCCTCAATTATATAAGTGTCCTTAAAGTGTTGTAAGGTCTCACCCTGAAACCTTCTCTTCTCCAGGCTGAACAATCAGGCTCTTTCAGCCTATTTTCATAGGGGAGGTGCCCCATCCCTCTGATCCTATTTGTAACCCTTTTCTAGACCTGCTCTAACAGGTACAGAGGAGGCAATGTCTTTCTTGTGCTGAGGATCACAGAGTTGGATGCTCCAGGTGGGGCACCACAAGATCAGAATACAGGGTGAGAATCATTTTTCTTGATTTGCTGGTCACTCCTCTTTTGATGCAGCCCAGGATGAGGTTGGCTTTCTGGGCTGTTCACTGTTGGCTTATGTCCAGCTTATCATCCACAAGAACCTCCAAGTCCTCTTTTGCAGTGCAGCTCTGAATCCTTATAATGGGGGGGACTCCACTCCTCCGACATCCACCCAAAAGATCAGGAACTTGCAAGAACTGGGAAGCCTGTATATATTTATGTATTAATTTTTGTATCTGCAGGAAAGTGTTGTCAGCAGGAGCAGGGCAGGGATTGTCCCCCTGTACTGGGCACTGCTGAGGCCACAGCTCCAATCCTGTGTTCAGTTCTGGGCCCCTCCCTGCAAGAAAGACATGGAGGGGCTGGAGCGTGTCCAGAGAAGGGAATGGAGCTGGGGAAGGGTCTGGAGCACAAAGCTGGTGGGGAATGGCTGAGGGAGCTGGGGGTGTTTAGCCTGGAGAGAAGGAGGATCAGGGGGAACCTCATCACTCTCTACAGCTTCCTGCAAAGAGGCTGTAGTGATGTGGGGGTTGGTCTCTTTCCCAAATAATAGCTGATAAGATGTGAGGAAACAACCTCAAGTTGTGTCAGGAGAGATTTAGATTAGATATTAGGAAAAAAATTGTCACTGAAAGGGCTGTCAAGCATTGGAACAGTCTGCCTGGGAAGTGGTTGACTCACCATCCCTGGAGGTGTTTCAAGTCATGTATATGTGGCACTTGGGGACATAGTTTAGTGGTGGACTTGGCAGTGCTGGGTTGGACGGTTGGAGACTCAATGATCTTAAAGATCCTTTCCAACCTGAATGGTTCTATATTCTATGATAGAACTTCTTATGGCTTCTGTCATTGCTGTCTTGTCTCCTTAAGAAGTAGCCACTGGACAGTTCCATTTTCCCCATTCCTGAGGTAATGACATGACTCTGGTGTTCTGCTCTTTTTTATCCTAATTACGTTTTAGCAAATTACTCATTTTAAAGGGGATGTCTCAGAGTAGTCATCTTTTTAGAAAGAGTACTCACTCGATTAAAAAAATAATTGATTGCTTGTGGCTTAAATGATCTGTGTGCCAAGCCTTAAATGTGACATTGGCTGGAGTACTATCTATTAGACTGATGGCTTCTTGCCCAAATAATATTTGGCTGGTGCCAGTCATTTCATATATTCATTAATTATGTTATCTGAAAAGTGAATATGTGAAGGGCTGCAGGCATATCCCAAAAAAGAAGAAGAGAATAAATCATGTCACATGTGTATTCTGAAAATAACTGGCAACTCCTGAAACATTTCCATGCATAAGACTGAAGGCAGGAATACACTGGGGTAGTTTCCTTAGGAGGGATGAGTAAATGAAGTAACACTCCATAGCTCCGTGGTCCAAGTGAAGTGGACGAGCAGCAGAGAGGACTGCTGCATGGAGAGGTCTGCTTTGGGATGTTCTTGTGATTGTACCTGGACTTCAGAGTAATTTTTGTTATATGGCCATACAAACAAGTCTTGGGCTTTTATCCAACAGCCCCCTCCTCAGGACACAGCTGAGGGGATGGCACCTTTTTACAAAGCATTCTAGCTGGAGAACAGATCAGGTAATTTAATTTAAGTTTTAGAGTTATATTCCTTGTTGTTACAAACTTCATATGGGATCTTTGACAAACCCCTCATGTTGTTGAAGAAGGGTATAAGGTTAGAACTTTACTGCAGGGGAATCTTCTGTGGGACTGTGGCTCTGTGGAAGTGCATGTGTGCTCTCCAGCATCAGAGTAAACAGTACCAAGTGGAAAATAACTCAAGTATTTTGCAGAGAAGTGCTGTAGAACTCTAATTATTAACACAGGGATGTGAAACGTGATCTGACACTACAGCTTAGCTGATCAACGTCTCTTTTTCTTCATTATCAGTGTGTCATCTCAAATGTCTGTTTGATGGTGAAAGTTTTGTGTATCAGTGACAGATGCTACATTTCTCTCTTTGATACAGTGGTAATAAAAGAATGACTCATTCTCTCCATAACACACTAGGAAATCCGATGATTATTGTCTACTGTATCATATTTTATTTGTTATTTCGCAATTATATTAAAATATAGGAATTACCTCCTAAAAGCTTATTTGTTCTCCGTTGATGTTTTCTTCCTCTAGAAATATCGTTATCAAGATGAGGATGCTCCACATGACCATACTTTGCCTCGTTTAACCCATGAAGTGAGAGGCCCAGAGCTTGTTCACGTGTCAGAGAAGAACTTGTCTCAAATAGAGAATGTCCATGGATACGTGTTACAGTCGCACATTTCTCCTTTGAAGGTAGGCTCCCTACAGCTCATGGCTTTAGTCCTCAAATACAAGAAAAAGCCTAGCACGAAATGCCTGGGAAACTTATTTTGTTGTACAAACAGACAAGCAGCTTTCTGAAATCTATCATTGCAGATTGATTGTCCTGTAATGGGTTTTTAAGGCTCGCTCTAGTGGAACAGGTGATAGTTTAGTTGATAAAGCTTTGTGTAGAGATGTGAGCTTTCTGCTTTAAGTGAGGGTTTTGCTTGAGTAAGAATAATTCCTGGCAAATGAGCCTGGCTTTTTGTACATTGTGAAAGGAATAATGCAGGTTCTTGGCCTCAATAACATAGTGATTTTTAAATGGCAGACTTCCCTTCCTGATTATCCTTGTTCAGAAATAATAATAAAAAAATACTGTATATGTAACCATCTGATGGAATCCTAGTTTTTTCATCTCTCAGAAAGCTATATCAAAGTCACAAGTTATGTCTGAAAAGGGAGCTCATTTGCCTCTATTCATATCCTTGCTGCTCAAGCACTTGCAGTTTTCTGTGGGTTTTGATGCAATTCAGAGTGCTGTAGAGATATCTTTCTGTTAACTAAGGCAACTATTTATAAAATATAGAAGCTTCAGCTGTATGTGGGTCTGATGTCCTCTGATATATCTCATTGGGCAAAAATGTTTCTCTTCCTGGTGAACCTGTATAATAACCAAAAAGGAATCCATTCCTGAAATTTTACATTTGTCCTTAATAAGAATGCAGTGGTTTGAAAATATTCCTACAGCTTTTCTTGTGGAAGGAGCACAGATGCAGTGATTAGCATGATGGGTTGTCTATTTTAGTTTCTACTAGTCCTGGGGAGGTGGGGGGAAAAGAATAATATTCTTTACTAGAGGTGGTGATGTTCTGGGTAATAGTTTTATTCCAGCAAACAAGGCAGATGGGCTTTGCTCCCTCTGGTGCTCAAAGCCTGTGAAATGGACACTGCTTGCCTAGCATGGTGTTTACAAGTGTGGTTACAAGTGAGAGGAAATGTTTATTATTAAAGATTGATGTGAATACAGCTGGTGTTCATTGAGCCTTCATGGAATAGCCATGCACACGAATCTTTGTCCTCTGCTCTTGTTGGTCCTGTGTTTAGTTTGTATGATTTTTGTCTTATCAGGTTTTAGTACTTTTCCGAGTTACTTACCTAACTTTTGCTGCAGAAGCCAACTGTACCAAGCAGTGATAGATCATCTTGTGCTGAGGTTATCACTTTAGTTATTTGGAAAGGATTACCTGCATGAGGCCTCTGCGTAGCATCAGGGGACAATCACAGACCAAGCAATTTCTGGCCTGGAAAGGAAACATCCCTGTTCCAGTCTAGGACTCCTTGAGTATTGTGATTACAGTGGTGTTTCTTGTTCATGAAGGTCAAAACCAGATATTGTTCTTCACATTTGGAGACTTTCAAGCAAGGCTACATAATCCAAGCTGAGGGTGTAGCAATGATGTCAAAAAGCTTGTGAAGTGAAGGGTATCCCCAGACATGCACAATTGCCTTGAAACAGCTCCCAGTCTTATTTGCTCTCATAACAAGGCAAAGTTGTTGTCTGCTGCTGTTTTCTGAAGTGATGGTAGGACAGGAGCTGTATAGTATTTCCTCTTGGAAATCAGTGTCTCCTGCAAGTTGTCCCTTCAGCATGAGGATTTTTGTCTTTGACTCTGTCCCCTTCCCTTGTTTCCTTCAGATTCACAGTGTCTTATATCTGCCACTTAATAGTCTCATGCCTGCCACTTAATCTAAATTTAGCTGTTTGTCTCTTCAAATGGCTTTGAAGTCCCTGCTTCCCCCTGCTGTCTGTGTCCCATCTTTCAACCTTCAGTAGAGATTTAGCTCAGGAGGCTGGAGGAATTCTTCTGCCTCACATTTCTGGTTACAGGTTGCATTCGCATTTGGTGCAAAGCTAAAATGTGCATACATGAAAGCCATGAATCTGCTTGTCCCAAGTGCTGAGGAATGCATTAGGTGCAGTTTCTGGTGCTGGGAGTGTGACTCTTAGAGTCTGTGAATGGTCAGACTGGGAAGTTTCTTTAACACCAAGCCAGGGGTCACATCACATCCTCTGTGCCACTAGGGCTGTCCACTTGACCACTCACCCAAGCAGATTGGCTGTCAGGTGGGGTGGGATTAAGTCACTGCCTGGCTGCATTTCAGTGCCTGCATTTCTCCATAGGGACTGCAGCACCTCTCCAGCAAGTTTTGAAGCAGTTTAGTGACTGCACGATGCCCTGATGACAGGATGATTACCCAATATTTGTTTTGAAATAATACCATAAAATGAAAATGTTTGAGCATAAAATTAATCTAGTTAAGATGCTTTGGAACAAAAACGTTGTACCAAGACCCAGCCACATGTCCATCCTAATCACATCACTTTTCCTAAGTGACTTGACTTTGGCAAAATAAAAGAGTTGCTCGTTTCCATGTATTTTTGTTCATTTGGAAAGAAATCTGCAAAGATCATACAATTATGATATATTGTACTTGGCACTGGTGATGCCACACCTTGAGTGCTGTGTCCAGTTCTGGGCTCCTCAGTTTAGGAAGGACGTTGAGACACTTGAGAGCTCCCAGAGGAGGCAACAAGGCTGGAGAGGGGCTTGGAACACAAACCCTGTGAGGAATGGCTGAGGGAGCTGGGGGTGTTTAGCCTGGAGAAAAGGAGACTCAGGGTTGATTTAATCACTCTCAACAACTTCCTGAAAGGTGGCTATAGTCGGGTGGGAGTTGGTCTCTTTCTCCAGGCAGCAACTGACAGAATGAGAGGACACAGTCTTAAGCTGTGGAAATATCAGTGGAAATATAGGTTGGATATTAGGAAAAAGTTTTTTTACAGTAAGAGTGATAAAGTACTGGAATGGTTTGCCCAGGGAGATGGTGGCATCACCATCCCTGGATGTATTTAAAGAAAGACTGGATGTGGCACTCAGTGCCATGGTTTAGTTGAGGTGTTGCACTGGGTTGGACTCAATGATCTTAGAGGTCTCTTCCAACCTTGTGACACTGTGTTTCTGTGTTTTATAAAACTTTCTTTTGGGCTGGCTGATTCTAGTCCTCCCAACTGACCAGTGCTCACAGCCATCTGTGGAAGCCATAGGTGTTGCACCTTGTCTGTGCATGTAGACTGCTTGCTACCATCACCCTGCTCCCCAGTTCTCAGTGAACATCTCAGTTTGCATCCATAATCCAACTTGTCAGCTTGAGGACAGGCTTGCATCATTACAGAGGAAAGTTTTGTGGATGGTTGAAGTTCAGGAAGAGAAACCGTCTATTCCCCTGCGTACATCTCCAGGTAAAACATTCCAGGAATTCTTGAAACATTTTCTGACATTCAGAATGGAAGCATTCAGACCATCTTTTTATTAACATCCAACATTTAAAATGCCTGATATGGCCCATGTTTGCATAGAACAGATGCATCTTACATTTTGAAGTGTACATATTCTTAAAGAATTTGGCTCTAATTTCATATTTCAGATTGTGTGGTTTGATGTAGCACAGAAACACCCTAGTGGAGCTCATTGTTATTAGATTATTAGATTGAATATTAGGAATAAATTCTTTACTGTGAGGGTGGTGAGGCACTGGCACAGGTTGTCCAGAGAAGCTGTGGCTGCCCCATCCCTGGAAGTGTTCAAGATTGGATGGGGCTTTGAGCACACTGGTCTAGTGGAAGGTGAACCCTGCCCATGTCAGCAGTCTTGATGGTCTTTAAGATGATCCCTTCCAACCCAGCCATTCTGTGGTTCTGTGATTCCATGATTCTGTGATTATTGATTACCTCAGCAGGCTGTTTTGGAAACGAAAACATAAAACTTAATTTTTTTCAACACCCTTGCACTTGTTTTATGTGCTGAATAATAAGAAATATGGTCCTCATACATCCTGAAAATCTCTTTGAGACACACAGATACTGATTATGATAAATACTGTTTAGAAATGTGAATAGATTTTCTGAAATCGAAGGTAAGCATGTTTTTCTTATCTTCCAAGTACCTAAAATCTAGTATGTATTAGCCAGATTACTCCCTTTCAGAAGATAATAATGAACAAAAGCAGTTTTGCTACAAACTACATCCTCTTTTATTTTCCCTGTATTTTTCACTTCTTCACCTTATTTTGTTTTACATTCACTTTGCTTTTTTACTCCTGTGTAGCATTTCATGTGCAGTCAACTTAGTTCTGGAAAATGCTTAATTTTAGAAAGCTTCAAACTCCTCTTAAAGGTTGATCTGCCTATTAGCGTGCAGAAGATACAATTTTCAACAGCTTAAGCAATTTTGAATGTCAAACACTGAAGTTGTAAAGGAGGTTTTCAGTTACGTGGATGTATTAACATTTGGGAAAATGCTAGCATTGGAGAAGTTTTGTTAGAGTTGCCATATTAAGATAACAAATGCTATTTTCAACTTATGGAGGTGATGGAATTGTGTTTTAATAATGTCTTAAAGGAAAAAAGTCTGTAGTGTAATGAAAAAATAATTTAAAATAATTTTCTTGCACTTCCCCTTGTTTGACACGAGATGGTGTAGTAAGCTTAGAATTCTTTTGTCTGCGTTTATAAAGCTTAATGATATAATATTGAGAGTTTTCTTAGATGCCTTGGAAAGTACTAATTCAGTAAAAAGTGCCTTGTGAATCCCTGGTGTTTTGGGAAATCTGAATTCAACATAACTGTACCTGAAAATCAGAGATGCAAGTTCTGTCTCTAAATTAAATACGTACTTCTTCCCCTTCCTCCCAGGAACAGAGCTAATCAGTGTTCATTAAATGAATGATAACCCTGGCTCCTAAATGAACCTTACTAGTCTTATTGTGATGTTAGATTTATTTTTGTTTTTCAGTATACTCCACTTTGTTAAGATAAGCTGAAAAATAAAAATGCTTGTAAGGATCTTGTATCTTCTTGGTTGTCTGAACATTTTAAATGTCAGGCCATTCCAGCTATCTCCATTTCCTAATTTAATGCCAGCTTCAAC